GTCATTAAAAAACAGCGGCTCCTTGAAAAGCCACATCCCAGGTCTGGGGTCAGGAGCAGGTGCGACCTTCAGCGCCCGCCAGGCGTTCACCACCGAGCTGTAAAATGGCCCAAGTCCAGACAGATCCACTTGATCCAACTTCAGAAGAAAGAGGTGTTTATCCAATCCAAGCCGGCCCACTCTCCTAAGCAGCAACTGAGCAGAAGCCATCCAGCTGTGACCACAGCCATACAGCAGCCTCTGTGCCGTCTGTAGTCTAAAGGTTGCTGTTCTGGACAAAACATCTATTAGGCCTTGTCCCCCCTCCGCCACAGGAAGATACAGGCCCGCCGCACGAAGCCAATGCTATCCCGACCAGACAAACTTCACCAGAACCGCTGCACCTCTTCCAGAAGACCGGGTGGTGGCACTAAAACAAGTAACCTGTGCCATAAAGATAAGGCAACCAGATTGTTAGCCACCAGAACTCTACCCCTGTAGGACAGGTAGGGGAGCAACCGGTTCCATTTAGACAGCTTAGCCTCCACCTTTTCCCGCACTCCCTCCCAGTTCTGCCTCACGAAACTGTATATGCTACAGCGTTAAATGCATAGCAGGGCAATATCTGAGCAACAGTTTTCAAGTGCTTTGTATCATATAATGCAGTTTTTTCAAGCTTTTTACAACTGATGTTACCGTGGTCTTTTACAATATGTACAAAAAACGACCTTTTTATTTTACACACATGCAGAGATCCAATATCTTCTCCTTAGTTTCAAACTATTACATTATGTTTGTGTTCTTTTGTGAAATTTGTAAAATAAATGTACAGTGTTTGTAGAGTGTTTTGTCTTGTTCTTTATTGTTTTTGTTCAGGTAAAATAAAAACAACATTTCATTTTGCATGTAAGTTTTCTTAAATAAACATTGTTAAAATTGATGTATTTTTAGATTAAATTATTTAATTAAACAAAATGCTAAATTATGTTTCGTTTATCTTAAAATAGATATCTTTACAATATCAAACTCTTTTTACTGTTGTCCCCCATTTTAATGTTTTGTTCTTTAATTGTTTCTAAAAAGAATATGATTTGAAGAACATTTAACATTCTTGTCAGGTACTAAGCAACTTCTATTTGGTTAATAATATTGAACATTTTTGGGGCTATAATAAAATGAATAAAGTACATATCTGGCTTTGTGTCAGAAAGTTGAGGTGCACGTTTGGCCAGAATTCGGGCCGGATCAGGAAATACAGACATATCACCTGGTACAGATCTGACCTGCAGCTGGCCCACATCAGAAAATCTAATTTGTACCTATACTGTGCCAATTTGATAAAAGGCACAGATCTGCTGTGTGCATCCGGTCCATAACTTAAGATGACTCTTCTCACACGTAGACATTGAGGGCTAGCAGGAGGGAC